TTTCTTCAGAACCCATTTCAGTAATAGAATCTGAAGCTACGAAGTTCAGTCAGAACATTCTGACCAGCCAATTAAGCCAATGACAAGAAACCATTCAACTATTTTCATTACTTTTTTTGAGAGAGGAGTGAAAATTTAAAAGTGGGAATTTAGGGAGGAAAAGAGTACTCAATGTATATGCTCACCAAGATGCATTGCACCAGTAGGGACTTTCTTCTCAGTCTCCTTTACTAGTTCATCATCCTTACCCTGCCCCCAACTGCTTGTGCACCCCAAGGCTCTGCTTAGGCCTTTTTCTTTTCTCTCTTTACATACCATCTGATGATCTCATTAGCTTCCATCTGTACAGTTCCAGTGTACATATAGCTCCCATATCTTAGTTTCTCTCTTGAATGCTCTTGAAATCTCCTATCACCAGCTACTTGTCGGACATTTCAAACTGGATATTCCAAAGGCATTTAAAATTTAACATATTTAAAGCAGAACTTACTCTCTTTCTCCCACTAACTACCTGTCTTCCTAACTTGCCTATTTCTGTTGAGAGCACCAAAATCTTTCGAGTCACCCAGGTTTGCAACCTCAGAATCATCCCTGATTTCAATTCTCCTTCAGCTCCCATATCCAATCAACTACCAGGTCTTGCTATTACTTCCTTCACAGCATCTCTCACATCCATTAGCATGTCTCCCATCCATTCTCATCTCCCCACTGACAGGGTCACCACCCTAAGTGCATGGTCTCATCACCTCTCACCTGGATAATTTTAGCACCCTCTTAACTCATCTCTCTGCTTCATCCTCCACCCAGCTGCCAAAGTGATATTCCCAAAGTGCAGGTCAGATCATATAGCTCCCTTCCACAGAAAGCTTCAGTAGTTTCCCCTTGGCTCCAGGATACAATAAAAACTCCTCTGTTTGACATTCAAAGTTTTTCATATTTTGTCTTCAGCCTACCAGGTTTATTACACATTTCTTCCTTTTTATGCACTTTACAATCCAACCAAATTGGTCTTCTTAACTTTTCTCACATAAATACTCCATCTCCCCCTTTCTATGCCTTTGAATGGGCTGTTTCTCCTGTCTGGAATTCATTCTTCCTTCCCTTCTACTTCTTAGCATCCCTAGACTCAGCTTAAGTACCAGTATATGAAGCCATTCCTAATCTCTCCCAGCTGCTAGTGATCCCCACAACAAATTACTTTGTACACAGCTTGTATATTTAAGGAGGCATTTATATAGCACCTACTATGAGCCAGTCACTGCTAAGCACTCTACAATTATCTCATTTGATCCTCACAACTCTGCAAAGTAGCTGCTGCTCTTACCTTCATATTATAGTTGAGGAAACTGAGGCTGCAGAGTTTAAGTGAGTAACTCAGGGTCATACAGCTAGGATATGTCTGAGACTGGATTTGAACGCAGGTCTTCCTTCTCCAGGCTCAGCACTCTATCCTCCTAGCTACCTATATACCTATATATACACCTATGTTACAGTAAGATTTTTACCTGGGTCCACTGGTGCTGGAGGTGATTTGCCTTCCTTGTTCTCCACTAAGGAGTCTCTCTCAGCTCTGGACCCATATGTGTGCAGACTGCGTTCACATCCGAGGAGGGGTGGGAGACTACCCGGAGTTTGCTGCATCCTACCAAAATGCCAAATCCTTTCAGTACTGAGCCACCTGTTCCCCTGGAAGTGGCTAATGCACAGGCTCATCACTCAATGGGGGTGAGCTCTGCAGAAGGCAGGGTGGTTGCTGTTCTACCTTCCTGTCTGTATACACACATATACACAAATATACATACATATGTTATTTCTCTTAGTTAAAATATGAACTTCTTGAAAGCAAAGACAATTTCATTTTTTGTCTATATCCCCATCACCTAGCATAATACCTGACACACAGTAGGCGCTTAATATATGCTTGTTAAATTAAATTGAGGATGGCTGGGTATTCCATTCTGATATTGTGCCTAGAATTCATAATGCCCTCTGATCTTACCCACGTACCTATCTCAGCATCCTTGTTGCCCACATCTTTCCCTACCTTGGTGCAACAAGCTGGGGCTTCTCCATGATCTTTATTTACCTGCAGGCTCAGCAGCAGCCTTAGCGATGAGGGGATCCCTAGAAGCAAGAGGTCACAATTATTCCCTGGAATCCAAGGACAGGCAGGCAGGCAACACAGGCCCAGATCCCCAACACATTTATCACCAATGAGCTGGGTGGGCATGTGTGAACACACTGGGAAGTACCTAATTAAAGGGAGACTTTGAGCAGCACCACTGCAGCTGAGAAGGGTCAGGGCTGAGCTGTAATGAGTCTCTAATATTAGCAGAAGGAACTCAGTTCTGCCTGCCTGGTGGGGTAGGGCTGCTCTGCTCTCCAAGGAGGGAATCCCAGGGGAATTGACTTTTTAAGAAGAGTCTTTGTTTCCCCATGGATCTGTTCTGGGAAATAATATAGCTGGGGAGGAGAAAGCCACTGCTAGAAAGTGACAGAATTTCAGACATGAAAACAGAAGGGAAAACTGTCAAAATCCCTCCCCCTGAAAATGAGTGGGGAGAAAGGAATGTGAGTATAATGAGAGGAGACGTGGTTATATCCAGAGAGATGAAAACAATGTGGTACTGTAGAAAGATCATCACTGGTTCTGATGCCAGACAGTCTGGGTTCAAACCCAGCCTCTGCTACTTATTACCTATACGACCTTGGATGAGTCATTGGACTCTCCTGGGACTCAGTTTCCTCATTTATAAAGTAAATCAATTGGACTAGGTGGCTTTTGAGATCCTGCCTATCTCTAAGTGTGAACACAGTCTGCACATTTGTGGGTCCAGAGCTGAGAGATGCTTCTTAGTGGAGAACAAGGAAAGCAAGTGGCCCAGCCCCACCAGGCCCAGGTACAGATGAGGAGAAGCCATAGAAAGTTAGAGCTGGAAAGGGCTCCCAAGGCCATATGGTCTCATTTTAGAAGAAGGAAGCTAAGGCCCAGAGAGACGATATACTTTGCCCAATTTCACACAGCTAATTAATAGCAGAGCCAGAAGAATTAGTTTGGGCTTTTGACTCTCATATGGGACCACGTAGGAAATTCAATTCAATAAACATAATTCTTCTGAAAAGTGGGATTTAACAGCTATTTTAGCATTATGGTTTAGTCCTAAATCTTGGAAGAGAGATGAAGAGCAAATATTCCTAACTGTCCCCCTAGGGATACTCCCCATCATAGACATAGCCTACAAGCTACAAAGCACCTTCCTGTGTCGTGAAAGAGGCAGCATAGATATGAGTTCCATTTTACAGATGAGGAAACAGGCTCAGAGATGAAATCATCTGGCCAAGGTCACACAGGTAATAGGTGCCAGCACCTGGATTTGAGTTAGGGCTTTCTGCCTCCAAGTCCAGGGCTCTTTCCACTGTTCCACACTACCTCCCACTCCCACAAGAAAAATCTCTGTGCTATGGTTCCTCCAGTTTTGGTGATAGCACTCCCTTTGGCAGACCCACACCCCTAGCTTTCTACTAGAACAGAAGCAGGGCTTTGATGTAAGAACAAATGATACTAAAGGGAAAAAAAGAGAAAAAGGAAAAGAAAAAGGGAAGGTTACAGTGGACAGAGAGGAAAGGGAACAAACATTTATTAAGCACCTACTTTATAAACATTATCTCATTTGAACCTCACAATAACCCTGACAGGTAGAAGGATAGAATGCCAGACTTGGAATCAGGAAGGCTCAAATTCAAATGCTGCCTCAGACATTTACTAGCTATTTGACCTCATACAAGTCACTTAACTGCTCTCTGCCTCAATTCCCTCAACTGTAAAATGAGGATAATAATAGCACCTACCTTCTAGAGTTTTTGTGAAGATCAAATAAGATAATATTTTCAAAGTGCTTTGCAAAACTTATAGTGCCATACAAATGCTAGCTACTATTATTATTACTTTCAGGATTTAAACCCAGTTCCTGTAACTAGAAATAGGGTATTCTTTTCACCACACACTCCACAAGATCTCTCAGTTTTCCTTCACAGAAGTTTGACTTTCTCTGCTCTATCACAGGGCAGCTAGGTGTGGCACAGTGGATAGTCTGTGTGGATCTAGAGTCCAGAAGACTCATCTTTCTGAGTTCAAATACACCTTCGGGTGTGTGATGATGGGCAAGTCACTTACCCTGTTTGCCTCAGTTTCCTCATCAGTAAAATGAGCCAGAGAAGGAAATGGCGAGCCACTTCAGTATCTTAGCTAAAAACAAACAAATAAATCCAAATGGGGTCATGACGAGTTGGACGTAACTGAACTACAACAAAAGCTCTATCCCAAGCTAGATCTTAAGTCATCACTTACTTGGCAGTTTTTCAAAGGACCGAATGTGTCCATTAAGATGCTGTAGGGGGGAAGCTAGGTGGTGCAGTGGATAGAGCACCAGCCCTGAAGTCAGGAGGAAATGAGTTCAAATCCAGCCTCAGCCCAAACACCCCTGGGCAAGTCACTTAACCCCAATTGCCTAAAAAAAAAAAAAAGATGCTGTAGGACCTGTAAGAAATGGAAATCTAGGGCTGTGCTTTCTGCCTATTGCAGGATATTTACTTTCCTTACTGTAGATAGGAATTTCATGCTCCAGTGGCTGCTAGACTTTTGGGGAGGCCTTTTCCAGTGGAGGGAGGATAGCTGACTGTTTTGCACTTGCAAAGTATGCCATTTTGGCTTGGGCACATAGAACTTAAACATTTGGAGGCAATGTATTATAATGGAGTGAGCCCTGAGTTTAGAGTCAAGGACCCAGGTTCAAATTCCAGTTCTGCTACTCAATGTCTGTGTGACCCTGGGTAAGCCACTTCTCCTAAATGTGTTTCCTCACCTATAAAATGAAGGTTTATAGGTTCTTTCTAGCTCTAACTCCAATGAGGTTCTAGTTTTGGCTGCCTTGTTCAGAGTGGGATTTCTGGGAACAACTGAAGTATCCTAACCATGTTTCTCCTTCTCATGACCCTTACAGGCCCTTCTTCTGTGGCTTGCACCAGTCTCAGCCTCACTCCAGGATCAGTACTGTGAGAGCCTATCCTTAGTCAACAACACTTCTGGTGAGTACCCCAAGGCATCCTCCTTCTCCCTTTTCCCCAACTGCTCCCTAAACAACATGCACCAGAGTTGGAGAAGTAATAGCACAAAACCCATCCCAATTAAGCCCCCATTTCTCAGGGAGATTCCCTGCTTCCAGTTCCTTTTCATACACATCTGCCAGAAAAATCTTCCTTCAATGCCATTTTCATCATATCCTTCCCTGACTCAAGAACTCCAGTATTATTCCCCATTGTCTAATATATCTAATTCAAACTTACAAGCCATCTACTAAAGCCCTGATAATTCTCTAAGTCCATCTCTTCTTTTTGCTCATGCTGAGGCATTATTCCATCCTACCAGCTAGCAGGAATAGGCCTTGGAGAACCCTTTCTTTTCCTCACCCCCATCCCAGCCTGGATGCTGACCTCTCTCCCCACCATCTCTGTCAAAGGTAACCAAAAGCCCCGCTCCACTTTGACCCTTGGGCCCATTACTTCCTTTCCAATAGTCATTGGTCAGGGACCATCTACCCTGCCATTGCTAACCAAAGTCCATGAAGTCTTACCATCTTCCATGCTTCTCCTGCTGGACTCTCAGTTCCACTTGGCCCTTCTATCTGCCATGAAGCTGAACTGTATTGTGTTGGCTTCCCTAATTAGAATGTGTTTCTATTTGTATGTCCTGCATCTGTCACCCCACTTGGCACAAAGTGTCAAACAAATGCTTCTCTTTTCTATTCCATGAAAATCCATGGTCAGAGCTACCTTTCTGAATTGTACCAGTGGAGCTTACTTCTGATTGCCCAATCCCAAACAAGGATGCCCAGCAGTGGGCATCAGGCTTATGTATCAGATGGGAGAAATAGAGAGATGTGCCACCTACAGGCAGCAGGAGGATGGGAGCAGTGGAGGAGAGAAGGACTGGTGACAGAAGATTGGTCTCTCTGGCACTCCTCTTGAGCCATTTGCTTGGGCTTCAGTTAATTATTTAATAAATTTTTGTTGAGTACCTACAGTGGGTAGGTACTGAACAGAGAGACAGAAGAAAGAAGAAACAGAATCTGACCACAGTCTGATGGTGGGGGGATGGGAGGACAATGTGGGGAGGGAAAAACAGAAGGTATGTACCTGAAATAGCTTAGACATAATGAAGATAAACACCATGAAGGAAATCTTTGTAACGGGCCTTTTATTTCCACATCAATTAGTTTCAAGTAGCATGTCAATAAGTACAAAATCCTTTCCTGCTAATCAAAGAAATGAGTGCTGTATGGAGGTAGAATAAGGAATTTCTTAGACTAGAAAGTGACTTAGGATGACTTCTACATATACTTTACATTCAATCCTTATAACAACCTTGTGAGATCAATAGTATGAGTATCATTCCCATTCTTTTTTACAGATAAGGAAACTGGACTCAGAAAAGCTTATTTAATGGTAACTCATTTCACTAGGCAAGGGAAGAGGGAATGACATTGGCAAAAAATTGGAAGCAGCACCTACCAAGTTGTGTACAGAGAATGAACAAGCAGAGGCCCATGGTTGATGAGTGGCTTCAGTGTGGGCAAAAGGAAGAGATGGGCCTAGAGAATCCTCAGGAGGTCAGCTGATATGTGAAGAATTTGGATGAGACACATCAGGCCACAGGGAGCTGCTAGGGTTCTTGAGTCAAGGAGGAACATGATAAGAATGGCACTGTAGGAAGATTAGGGTGGCAGGCATGTATGAAAAGGAACTGGAAGCAATGAGTCCCTCTAGGAAATGGGGGCCTCATAATAGGAATGGCCCTGGTGACCCATGACAGAAGGAATGGCTGGTCAGGCTCCATTAGCTCATTTGTTCTGCTCCCTAAAGAGGTCTACTCTATAGCTTACTGCTGTAGGTGTCATCTGTCCTTGGAGGTGGTGATAAATGACACTCATTCCCCTGTGATTTATATTCCCTACTCCCTCGCCTCACCTCACCTCCGCCACTGCCTCCCTCCCTCAATCCAAAACTGGCTTTATGGTGTGCTGATCGATCACCCTCTGCAGAAGCCTCTGATCAAGCACCATTTTTCTTCCTCCCTCCTTGGTCCTGCCCAGAGCAATGGGCACAGGGAAAGACAGATGGAGAGCGTGGGGAACAGAGAGGGACATTGACAGATGGATGGTCAGTCTGGCTGCCTAGTGACACCAAGACATTGCTTTTCCGTGGGGAGTCCCCATCCTCTTTTCACATGGCATATTCCAGGACCAAGGAGAGCACCACTGGGAAAAGACTGGCGTTTGAGCTCATCTGTCCATCTGGCACAGTCCAGATAGGTCACAAAATTATAAAATCATATAATTGTAGAATAACAGCATCGGAACCAGGGTATGTTATATAAGTTCACATTTAAATGGGACTATAAGGTTTACAATGCATTTTATATACTCTTTTCATTTGATCCATCCTCACATGTGTGAGATAGATGGTATTAGGATTCCCATTTTACAGAGAAGGAAATTGAGACTGAGAGAGGTTACGTGACTAGTCCAGGGTCACACAGGCATGAAGTATTGTCATAGAAAAGAAAATCCACTACTTATAATTTAGAATACAATCAAATACAAAGCTTTATTCCAAGCATTGTTACAAACCGAGGCAGAGAAAAGCAATAATTGGTACATGGAGAAGTGTGTTTCTATGAGGCAAGTGGGCTTCTAAATATGAACCATTTTCCACAGGTGCTTATGGAATACAGAAAGGCATATAATCATGCTGCATTCACAACTGGTCAGCCACTGACCTTGGGGACAGTTTGTGACAGTGGTTCAAGGGAAGGAAAATAGACTTTCTAATTTGCTAATCTATTGTTGTTCTCAGAGGTCCAAGACAGGGTGTGCTCTGTGTTTTGTTTATCCTTGCGTACAAACTGGGGTAAAGGAAGGCAAAAAATATAGGGGTCCTACATGGCCACCTGTTTAATATTGAAAAGAAGGCTTAGTATAAGATAGAATTATTTATGCCAAGAAAGAGGAAAATATAGTGTCTAGCTGAGTATGAGAGACAGGATTTGAACTCAGTTCTTGCTGACTCAAAATCACAGTGATTTAACCAATGCTTCATGCTTCCTCTGAAAATTAATACTTCCATTCAGTTGGAAAAGGATCTTGGGAGGTAATTGGGTCCAGCTCTCTGCCTTCAGACAAGTGAATTGTCTAAACTAATCAGGTCCAATTATGTTAACTGTAGAATAGATGTGTATCCAGAGGACCCAGTCTGTCCTTAGTGGGATGATGAGCTTGTCAATGAAGGGAAGGAATGGTCTGGACATTCTTCCCAATTCACTACCCCTGAGAACCCCTGAGTCAGGAAGTAGTAGTTGAGGTGATTTAGGGGTGACCAATGGTTCAATTTGATCACCAAAGAACACCAGGAAGTACAATAGCGAAGAGACTGTCTGCCCATAGAACCTGGAGACAGAGCCAGAGTTTCCCTCTCATCTACTTTATACATTGCCATGATTAAAGGTTACTCACCTAGCCTTCCCACTCCCTTTCCTGTACCCAGTCTTTCCTACCAATAGGAAAGGGAACAGGACCTTTCCTACTTACTGATGAGTGACAGATAAAGGCAAAAATGTGACACTAGAATTAGCAACCACTCTGTGATCTTTGGTCTGACCTCTAAGACCTGAAACATACTCCCTACTGGGAGACAATGAATGAGAGGGCAGCTTGGTTATGGGTCACTAAACCACCCTCCTTCTCCTCTCTCACAGTCATTGCCCTCCCACTTTGCTGTGGTCAAGTAGCACCAAGTGCTCTTGGACAGTTCTCACTGAGCGCTCACCATATGCTATGTGCAGGACAGAACACTGCTGCTATATAGTCCCTGCCTGCAGGGAGCAGACATTTCTCAGACATAACTCAGAAGTTCTGGGTACCATGTAAAGTCCAAGAATTGTACCCTGGTCCCGCCCTACTAATCATCATGGGGAGATGATTTCCTGAGGTCTCAAGACTAATTCAAAACAGTTACACTAATAGTTCCGTCGGCAGCATTTCCTGAGGATCCAACTGTGAGGGAACTGAATACCAGGCAGGATTGGATCTAGCCCATTTTCTTGGGGTTGGAAGCCTATTAGACAGTAAAGGAAGTCTTATTGAGGGTGTTCTGGGGCTTAGCTATGAATGGTGGACCTTTCCTGCTTGATTTATGGGTCTATACATTGTTTTTGGTGGAATGACTTTTTAAAAAATCCCACAGAAGATCCTCTGGGGCCCTGATGAGGGGCAAGGCCCTCTTAGATCTTAGAGAAAATTCAAGAGGAGAATCAGAAGGAGATGGATTAGGATATTTGTATCTGCACCCCTTCAGGTGATGGGGCACAGGTATTTTGTTGCCTTGTCCCCCTACCATTGGTCACAGTAAGACACATATCTAGATGGGTTAGGACCAACCTTGAGTTTGGAGACTAAAAGCTGGTCTAATTGGTAGCTCTCTGAAACTCTAGGAAGCTTTCAGCTTAACTTTTTTTATTATTTTTTTTGTGTGTGAGGCAGCTGGGGTTAAGTGACTTGCCCAGAGTCACACAGGTAGGAAGTATTATGTGTCTGAGGCCAGATTTGAACGCAGGTCCTCCTGACTCCACAGCCAGTGCTCTATCCACTGCACCACCTAGCTGCCCCAAGCTTATTTTTTTTTAATTGTGTGTTTAAACCAAATACATCTCCCATCTCTGAGTTTGGGATAGAAGGTGGACCAGATATAGGGAGGAAATTATTCATTCCTTCTGTTCCTATTGGTTTGGAATCCATGACAACATGAGGCAGGCTCAAGATTGCCCTCGTACTCGGGCTAACACCAAAAAATTACCCTTGTACACAAAATTAAAGTGGGACTCTATAACATATAAATGCTTTCTTATAACTTTCATAGAAGGTAGAAAAGCACCACTTTCAAGTGATTCTTCTCTACCCCAGAAGAGTAGGCATTACTTTAAGCTTCTTTGTGCTCCAAAAAGTGATAAAACTGAATTAATTTTTAAAACATAA